ATACAAAACGCGAAGAAGGTAGACAAGTTGACACTATTCCCAGAATTGATACAGTCTTTCAACATTAAATTATTTAGTTTAGTTCAATGAAACGACATGCACGCCTGTCGTTAACGATTTAATATTTATGTATATGTGAAAGTATTACGAGGACTCCACATCCAATAATTAAAGATGACAAATAAATAGTGCAAGCAATATTGTAAGGGCACACAAAAAATAGAAAGCTAAAATATATTGAGCATGCGGAAAATATGAAAAAAAAAATGTTTGAGATGAGAGTGAATTAAATATTTTGTGCTAGGTTTTGTAAAAATAGAACAATGCTTAAACATAAATGTACGTTTACTTGGAATAAAATGTAATATTAAAATTTAATTATTTTTCCAAAAATTGGACTAATTTTAAATACAGCAACAAATTTTCTGATTGGAGCAACATGAAATATTTGCTGCAGGTGTTACAATTACTATCCTTGCATTAACAACGATATTGAACCCTATATAATTATAGAGGTGATGAACTCTAGCGTGCAAGCTTTCAAACTATATAAGGGTATAAAAAGACGAATAGGCTCGCAGCTGAAAACACATCGAACTCAAAACTCGTGCTCGATATGTCATACCACTGGATACTTGTGGTCTTATTTACGACACAAGCCTTTTCAATTGAAGGGGATACAACTGCTAATTATCAAGGGAAGTGTATTAGCCGACGGCTTATCAACCATTATCAGTTAAACAAAGAAATCTTTGCTGTGGGAATGTGCAATGATAAAAATAAATATGCATTTCGTCAAAAACGCCGTATCGATCCCACATTTCATGGCAACCCGAAGCCACGAGGTGAACTTTTGGCCAGTAAGTTTCATGTAAATTCATATAACTTCGATCAGACAAACTCATTGGTTGGGCTGGTTAACAAAATTGCCCAAGAGTACCTTAATAAATGTCCACCTGTCATATATTATGATAGCTTTGTGGAAAAATCTGACGGATTGATTTTGGAGAATTTGTTCAAGGTAAGTTCGAAAGACGACTTTAGTGCACTAATATGTAACAACATTTCTTTAAAAATGTTAAATTAATAAATTTTAACGAGTTGACTGATTTGTTTATCTACATACATAAGTATAAAAGGTAGACCAAATTTATTTTAATTGTGATAAAGTTGCAGTGTTAGTAACATTAGTACTGGTCAAAGTTAAGTTCATTCCGTTGTAAAAAAATTGATTTTTTTAAAACTATAGATAAAATTACCAAAATTAAAATTATTTACTTTTCAGACTATACCTATTACTTTCTACCACGGGGAAATCAATGCAGGCTACGAAGCAAAAAATGAACGTTTCACGAGCCATATAGATAGCAATTGCAAGAGCTACATTCTTTTTCTTTCGGACCCATTAATGACGCGAAAGATTTTAGGTCCGCAAACTGAAAGTCGTGTAGTTCTTGTCTCAAGGTCCACCCAATGGAAACTCCGTGATTTCTTGTCTTCGGAGCTATCCTCAAACATAGTTAATTTACTAGTTATTGGGGAATCACTAATGGCTGATCCGATGCGCGTGAGTATAAATTAACATGAATTTCATTTACGTATTTCTAATAAATAACACCCTTTACACAGGAGCGCCCATACGTGCTCTACACCCACAAGCTCTATGCAGATGGACTTGGCTCGAATACTCCAGTAGTACTTACCAGTTGGATAAAGGGAGCTTTGTCACGTCCACATATCAATCTTTTTCCATCGAAGTTTCAATATGGTTTTGCGGGACACAGATTTCAAATTTCGGCCGCAAATCAGCCGCCGTTTATTTTTCGCATTCGCACTTTAGATTCCTCAGGAATGGGCCAGTTGCGATGGGACGGAGTAGAATTTCGTCTGCTGACAATGATATCTAAGCGGTTAAACTTTTCAATTGATATCACTGAGGCCCCAACACGGTCAAATACTCGCGGAATAGTAGACACTATCCAGGAACAGATTATAGAAAGGACAGTAGACATTGGTATGTCCGGTATATACATAACTCAGGAACGTCTGATGAATTCAGCCATGTCGGTGGGACACTCACGCGACTGTGCAGCTTTCATAACACTTGCCTCGAAGGCGCTGCCGAAATACAGAGCTATCATGGGACCGTTCCAATGGCCAGTCTGGGTCGCTCTGATTTGCGTTTACCTCGGAGGGATATTTCCGATAGTTTTTACCGACCGTTTGACACTTAGCCATTTAATGGGTAATTGGGGTGAGGTAGAGAACATGTTCTGGTATGTGTTTGGTATGTTCACAAACGCTTTCTCCTTCACCGGGAAATACTCGTGGAGCAACACGCGGAAAAATTCCACACGCCTCCTAATTGGAGCATATTGGCTCTTTACAATTATCATTACATCTTGCTACACAGGTTCCATCATTGCATTCGTAACATTGCCAGCGTTTCCCGACACCGTTGACTCTGTGTTGGATCTGCTGGGGTTGTTCTTTCGCGTTGGAACCCTGAGTAAGAAAATGTTAGGTTCGCTAAATTTTTAAATAATATTTGGATTTCTTACTTAAAGACAATGGTGGCTGGGAGACCTGGTTCCAGAACTCCACCCACTTACCAACATCAAAATTGTACAAGAAGATGGAGTTTGTCGGGTCTCTAGATGAGGGCATTGGCAACGTTACCCAGAGCTTCTTTTGGAACTATGCCTTTCTTGGCTCAAAGGCTCAGCTTGAATACCTAGTGCAGTCAAATTTTTCAGATGAGTAAGATCGAACCTTTATTAATCTTAGGTTCTCGCTAACATAAACGATATTCTCTTCCAGAAATATATCGCGCCGATCGGCGCTTCATTTAAGTGAAGAGTGTTTTGCTCTTTTTCAAATAGGCTTTCTGTTTCCCCGAGAGTCAGTGTATAAAATCAAAATCGACTCGATGATTTTACTCGCCCAGCAAAGCGGTCTTATTGCAAAAATCAATAACGAAGTAAGCTGGGTTATGCAGCGATCGTCTTCAGGTCGCCTACTCCAGGCAAGTTCTTCGAATTCCTTACGTGAAATAATTCAGGAAGAGCGCCAATTGACCACGGCTGACACAGAAGGCATGTTCCTGCTCATGGCACTAGGCTACCTTCTAGGGGCCACAGCCCTGGTGTCCGAGATCGTGGGTGGCATTACCAACAAGTGTCGTCAAATAATCAAGCGCTCCCGCAAGTCTGCCTCTTCGTGGTCGTCGGCGTCAAGTGGGTCAATGCATCGCACGAAAGCCGAACAACTATCCCATGATAAACGAAAGGCCACAAGACGCGAGGCCGCTGAGGTTGCTCAAAAGATGAGTTTTGGAATGCGCGAGTTAAACCTTACCCGCACAACGCTTCGCGAAATATACGGAAGCTGCGGGATTACTGATAAGGATTATGGTCAGCAGGTCGTCGTCCACACAGAGTTTCCAAACAGTTCTGGAAAATTGAATAACATTGAAGACGAGGAATCTCAGGAAGCTATTGAATCTCTACAGGGCTTAGACGATTTTATGGACCAGATGGATGACGATGGTGATCCTCCCTCACAGACATTCACTATTGAAAATTAATCACACAAATTTTGGGAATGCAAATACACATAATTGACTTTGTTGCACCTGAAAATAAATGTATTAAAATAATTACATTATTTGGGATAAGGCCAATTGACAATCACCCAAGCTGGACGTCAGTGATGGAAAATATTCGCACCAAAAATGTTTTTTTTTATCGCGGCCGGGACACGGTCACACTTGCCCACAAATCACAATATTGCGATACAATTGAAGCGCATATGGTTTTGTGCTGAAAAAATGGTTCACGACTTATAACGTGTAAGTTATCACGCTTAGGCTCCGCTCGGTAAAAAAGTGATAAGTGCGCTGATTAATTACAATTGGAATAAAATTATTAAAAGTATCTAAAAGTTTGATCTCATAACAAAAAAATTTATTTTAAAATATAGTTACAAATCATAGCGGAGTTTCACTCCCAAACGATGTTATCCGACCATTCCTATCAGTGATAGAAAATGTCCGTTTTAAAAACCATGTACTCCACCCAATCCGTTCAGTGATGGAAAATGCAGGGCTAAAAAAATATGTTTTTTTTCACTAGCGGGACACGGTCACACTTGCCCACCGATCGCGACATTGTTTTTGTTGAAAATGACGCGGATCTCGTTTTGTTCTGATAATATTGTTCACGGTTTGTAAAATAGGTAAACGGTAAAACTCTGGTCGTTTGAATTATTATCCGCGTTTTGGTTGACACGTTTGTTTAGTTTTTGAAACAACGGTGAAGAGAACAGAGCGGGCGTTCCTCCGCATACAAATACATACAAACTTGTGCATGTAGGTGTGAACAAAAAATAATTCAAGCATTAACTTGGCCACCGCCTTAACTGTACAAACAGAAATAAATAAAGGTAATTGGCTTAACGGCTTACTGGCTTATTTATATATAAAACTACTTTAATAAAGTGTACACAAGCATGTTCTTTGCATAGAGGCGTAGTCGGTGAGTCAGCCACGCCAACAGTCAGCAGTCGTCATTTTGCTGCCAGTCTAAACAAGCAAATTTGTGTGTGTGTGTGTGTGTGTGTGTGAATAAACAGTACCGGTATGCAATTCCAAGGCTGGTCAACTATAAAGTCCGGAATGTACTCAAAATTAGGTCATCACTTCTTTATGAAGTAAATGTTGGAACCAGTTAATTAAATTAGTATTAGTTATCAGCCGAAAGACGGTGATACGGTGTTGCGCCTCTGCTTGCTCACGGATACATACATACTTACATATATGTATGTATACGGTATACAGTTTTAGAAAAAAATAGAACCGATCAGTTAGCGTTAGTCTGCCTTTAAGCCAATTAAGGCCATAAAAAAAATTGGAAATAAGTGTTCATTTAATATTAGTTAACATAATTGTAAAAACAAACTTTGTTAAAAAAAAAAAAGGTTAAAGCTACTTAAGAAATTCCTATTTATTTTTCCAATGCTGTACTTACAAATACATCTATTTCGTATGCGACGCAGCATTGTAATTTCATTAAAAAGAAGTACATTTGTACATACACATTGCAGAGAGTACGGATCGGTCATCTTGCATCTCATTTTTCCGAATGTACATATACACGAATACACATATACGTATGCATATGTATGCATGTTCATTAAACCGCCTACATGGCAGTCTTTGAAGTTCTATGAAAATAAGCACAACTAGTTTGGCAACTCTTACAAGCCAATATTTGTCTACTGACTTTTCTATGGCTTTAAGAATGTAGAACAGTCTTTGTTAAATAACTTTCGATTATCGTTTACAACAATAATATAAATGGAGCATCTATATCTATTACATTTTATATTAATAATATAATTTAAATACCATATTCCGGGTTTATTCTTAAGTATGAAAAAAATATACAACTACTTTTATTTCATACATGTATTTTTTATTGAAAATTGTTATACAGTTGTATTTATTATTTTCAGTATTAATTAAATACGGCCGCAATTAAATATAAATATCTATTCAGCGAAACCAACCCACCATATAAGTGTAACCAATCATGTTAAAGTTTATCCGAGGAAAAGGACAGCAGCCCAGTGCCGAGAGACAACGCCTACAGAAGGACCTTTTTGCTTATCGTAAGGTATTACCAAAAAATTTTCTATTCTATTATAGTCGATTTGTATATTTTGTGTGGTGTCATTAAGCTGGAGCCTGGATGATAAAAACATTTTGTTAAAGGAAGTTATGAAAAGGCTTGATTTAAAAAAAATACCTTAACACAATTTTGTTTTGTCGTCTCCTATCTGCATCTCCTTTTGGGCATGAACATTTCGGTGTTTAGGCGCCTAATGCTATTGTGCCTGTATATATTTTTTTTTCTCCTTGGCGCTGCACTGCAAATAAATTTATTGAAACTCGTCACAGTTTGCATTCATCAGCTTACTGAATTCAGACTCTGACTTATTGGTTTAGACTGTCTCCTATCTCGGAATGGATGCCTATATTGAGGTTTAAGAATTATGCAATAATTATAAAAATTCTTTTAATTTTCATAATATTTTTGTATTTTCTAACGTTGTCCTTTTGCATATTTTCGAATCATATGTATATATCATAGAAATCTTCCTATTCCCATAATAATATAATAAATATATGGAATTCTAAAATGAATTTTGTTTAACCTATGCTAGTATAAATGTGTCATATAACAACTTAAACCAGGCCAAAGGTAATCGCCATCCAGTTCCATGAAGAGAGTGTAGCTGATAAGATAGCCTTTATGTGTTTAATGGGTTGGGTAAATGGTTCGGTTCTACAAATACCCTTATTTCCGACATAAATAAAGTATGTCATTGCTTAAGTATGTACATAGATAGAAGCCGTAGAAATGATAAGATTTCGAAGTAAAGCGAAAGAGAATTTATGTGCTTGTAACTGCGTTAGAAATTCAAAGACACCTGCAATATGAATTTTTATTCCCGTTACTGGTAGAGTTAAAGGGTATAACAGATTCTTAAAAAGTATGCTAGAAAGTTAATATAAAGCATGCAGATTCCGGAGACATAGATGCAGCGCAAATCTGTTGACTCATGTTGCCAAGCCCACACTTTTGAAAAATGTGATATTTTTCACTTTTGTATATATCTTGTATATTTCTATAAATTTCCCGAAAAACTTTCTGCAACGCCCACTGCACCACCCACAAACCGCCCAAAATTCCTACGCCCACACTTTTAAAAACTTTTTTGTTGTTTTATTTTTCCCACTTTTTACCGATATTTAAAAAAAGTTTGAAATTTCTCGTTTGCACTTCCATTAGAGGATGAACAAAGGTGAACAAATTTGACTTAACAAATGTGATTTTCGATTATGTTTTTTAGCTATATATTTTAAACTTCATTTTTAATTGTTTATCGATTACACTCTGATTAACTACAAAAGAATACAGCGATTAGAATATGATTCCGGTGCGGTTCAGTGGTGAACATTTACAACTTTGGGGAGGTTTGCGACCTTATTAAGGTTTCTAATCCTATTAATTTTAAAGTAAAAAGCTGTATAAGCTTCGGTAATAACTCTTTAAAATGTAGGAGAAACCATTTCCCACTTTATAAGTAGGAATTATTCTAAAAATTTCTTTGATCCTGGCGGGAACTGAAAAAAACTAGAAAGTTTGGGCAAAAACATTTTTTAAAAGGTGTAATTGTATGTATCTTAATTTTTCGATAGCTCAAGTTTTGTACGTTAATAGTGCGATTGTGTTTTTTAGCTAAGCAACACTCGAACTTACCGTTCTCTCTTTAAAAATTAAAAAAATGGATTAAAACAATTATTAATTGATAAAAATCTATAATTTCTTGTTAAAACTTATTAATATGTTTTTCTTTCAGACGGCACAGCATGGCTTTCCTCATAAGCCTTCGGCTCTTGCGTATGATCCAGTTTTAAAATTAATGGCAATAGGAACGCAAACAGGGGCTTTAAAGGTTTTCGGTCAACCAGGAGTTGAATTGTACGGACAGCATACCTTGGTGAACAATTCTGGATCTGAGCTTAATGTACAGTTACTTGAATGGGTTTATGGAACTGGTCGTATACTTTCCTTGACTGCTGCGAATCAATTAATTCTATGGGAGCCCGTTGGAACAACGTTGCTGCCAATCAAAACACTACCATTCGACGGAAAACTTAAAAAAGTTTCATCGCTGTGCTGTTCCTTCAGTAAGGATCTGCTATGGATTGGAACTGAAGGTGGCAACATCTATCAACTTGATTTACACACATTTACCATTAAGGAACCTGTAATTTACCATGACGTTGTGTTAGAACAGGTGCCACCAGCCTACAAGCTAAACCCTGGTGCAATTGAATCAATCCGCCAACTTCCAAACTGCCCTAGCAAACTGCTCGTTGCTTACAATCGCGGCCTGTGTGTTTTATGGGATTTTGAAACAGCTTCTGTCGAGCGAGCATACATAGCCCCTGGACATGGGCAGAGCGTTGGTCTTTCAGTGAATTTCGGAGGAACTGAATTTAGCTGGTATCATGCTGATGGTTCGTACGCCACTTGGAGCATAGATAACCCAGAACCACCATCGAATGTTAACTACGTGCCTTATGGACCTGATCCATGCAAGAGCATAAATCGACTGTATAAAGGCAAGAGAAGGTTAATATTAATTAAAGAGAACGCTTTTTGGATATGTACTAATTTTCCATTATTCTAGATCCAACGATGTAATTGTTTTTTCAGGCGGCATGCCACGTTCAGCATATGGTGATCACAATTGTGTGTCCGTGCACGCCAGTGATGGGCAAAAAGTGTGTCTTGACTTTACGTCTAAAGTGATTGACTTTTTTGTAACCTTTAAAGATAATAGTGACGTCGCTGAAGTTCTTGTTGTACTACTTGAAGAAGAACTATGCGCCTACGATCTTACTGACTCCAATATTTCTGCTATCAAAGCGCCATATCTTCACTCTGTGCATGCATCAGCTGTTACCTGCAATTACCTTGCTTCTCAAGTTACACAGCCGGTATATGAAAGCATTTTACGTGCTGGGGATGAACAAGACATTCACTATAGCAATATTAGCTGGCCTATTACCGGCGGTACTCTCCCGGAAGACTTAGAAGAATCTGTAGAAGAAGACACGTCTAAGCTTTACGAGATTCTGTTAACTGGTCACGAAGATGGTTCTGTTAAATTTTGGGACTGTACTGGAGTGTTACTTAAACCAATTTATAATTTTAAAACTAGCAGCATTTTTGGTAGTGAGTCAGACTTCCGAGATGACGCAGCAGCAGATATGAGTGCGGAACAAGTCGATGAAGGAGAGCCGCCATTTAAAAAATCAGGTGTTTTTGATCCCTATTCGGATGATCCTCGTTTGGCAGTGAAGAAAATAGCATTCTGCCCAAAAACCGGACAACTTATTGTTGGTGGCACAGCGGGCCAAATTGTCATAGCCGACTTCATAGACGTACCCGAAAAAGTATCTTTGAAATACAGCTCAATGAATTTGGTCAGCGACCGTGATGGCTTTGTTTGGAAGGGTCACGATCAGTTAAATGTGCGATCTAACTTATTAGACGGAGACGCGATTCCTACAACGGAACGTGGTGTAAATATATCAGGAGTGCTGCAGGTTTTGCCGCCAGCGAGCATTACATGCATGGCACTTGAAGCAAGTTGGGGACTTGTATCTGGTGGGACTGCGCACGGTTTAGTACTCTTTGACTTCAAAAACTTTGTTCCTGTATTTCATCGCTGCACATTAAACCCGAATGATCTCACTGGAGCAGGAGAGCAGCTGTCTCGTCGAAAGTCTTTTAAGAAATCATTGAGGGAGTCATTTAGAAAGCTTCGGAAGGGTCGTTCGACTAGGAACAACCAGAGCAATCAGGTACCAACAACGGTTAGTAACATATTATACAATCAAATAGTCCCTTATAATAAATTTACATCTCTACAGCTGGAAGCTCGACCAGTCGAGAGACAAATAGAGGCACGATGTGCAGACGACGGACTGGGATCCATGGTTCGATGTTTGCTATTTGCCAAAACCTATGTTACTAACGGTAAGTTAAAAAGGTACCGAACCAAGGACTCGAAAAACTAGGACCCAAATGCTAAAATTACACTGGATGCCAATAGCTTTAATTATTTTTTTGTGATCAGACTCACAAGTTGTGTATCGTAATAAGTCAACTTCTTTTGTATAGGGTATATAGATAAGGTTTTAAAAGTATATGTATTTATAAAAATTATTTGCATTTTATTTGTCTTGCTGTCTAATATTAATATGCAAACACATTTTAACCACTTCCACAAACCGCAAAAAACATAATTTTTGTAAATTTTATATATTTAGTGTCTAAGATTTTTGTTGAAAGTTTTCGACGGTCGAGCGTACTAGCGTTCTCTCTTGTTTGACAATATATATTTTCGGTTTAAGGAACAGTCGTTCATTTTGATTAAAATCGGGCGACTATTGACAGCAATAGTAAAATTTAAAATTTTTCCCTGCCTCTTCATAGTGTAGTAATGGGTTTATTAAAAAATGTACATCTAAGTAGTAGCGTTCTCTCTTGTTTGACAATATATATTTTCGGTTTAAGGAACAGTCGTTCATTTTGATAAAAACCGGGCGACCATTGACAGCAAATATTAACATTTTTCCCTGCCTCCCAATACTGTAGTTATGGGTTTATTAAAAAATGTACATCTAATTTGTTATAAAACTTGTACATTTTCAGTCAACATTACGTCACCAACTTTATGGTCAGCAACAAATGCCAGTACCGTCTCAGTTTTTCTTTTGCATTTGCCACCAGCGCAGACTGCTGCAACTGCCGTTCCGTCGGCAAGTGGCAATGGACCACCACAGATGCCGCGCCGCGTTTCCGCCCAGCTTGCTAAAGAAATTCAATTAAAACATCGTGCACCTGTGGTGGGTATTTCTATTTTTGATCAGGCGGGTAGCCCTGTCGATCAGCTAAACGCCGGTGAAAACGGTAGTCCACCGCATCGTGTCCTTATTGCTTCCGAGGAACAGTTTAAAGTATTTTCACTTCCGCAACTAAAGCCGATCAACAAATATAAGCTTACCGCTAACGAGGGTGCTCGAATTAGGCGCATCCATTTCGGTTCGTTTAGTTGTCGCATATCGCCGGAGATTCTGCAGAGTATGCACGGTTCTAGCCCAACTAAGTCCACACGCTCATATGGCGACGGAGAGGCGGCTGCTAATATCAGTGGAAGCTTGTCTGGTGGTCGTGGAGATGTGTATAACGAAACTGCATTGATATGTTTAACGAATATGGGCGATATCATGGTTTTATCAGTACCTGAATTAAAAAGACAGCTTAATGCCGCAGCAGTGCGAAGGGAAGACATTAAGTAAGACCCACATACTGCTAACATTTTAAATTACTGGGAACTAATAATTAATTTTAATTTTGTAGTGGAATTTCGTCACTTTGCTTTACAAACTCAGGAGAAGCCCTTTATATGATGTCTTCTTCTGAACTGCAGCGTATTGCATTAGCCACGTCAAGAGTAGTGCAACCCGCTGGCATTGTTCAAGTAGAACCATTAGAAAATGAAGAGTCTGTGCTAGAAGAAATTGATGTAGATAATGATAAGGAAACATATGCATGTGATGAAGTCGTGAATACAGATACAGATCCACCAGCGATTACAACATCCACACGAATTGCAGAGGAAAACGTTGATAGAAATAGTCTTCAGCAAATTAATGGAGTCTACATGTCCAATTCACCTAATCAAGCTAACGAAACTATCAGCAGCTCTATTGGCGATATTACAGTTGACTCGGTGCGTGACCATTTAAATCTGACGACAACCACGTTGTGTTCTATTAATACAGAGGAGACCATTGGTGAGTAATCAGTTATTCACTAGCATAATCGCACTTTTTTCGGTTTGTAATGTGTACGTATCTACATTTAAAAATTATGTTCTCGGTGCGTCATTTTTTAGTTTACTTAATTTAGTACTTATAAAAATTAAAGTTGTAAAACTTTTGATTTTAGGTATGCGCCTGAGCCCACATTTTACTTTACGTTTTTTATAACTGTACTTGACAATTTTTGTCTATCATCCCTATAAAAATATAGGTCGCCTATCTGTGCTTAGCACGCAAACCAACAAAGCCACTACAACCGTGAACATGAGCGATATTCCAAATATAAATATTTCCAATTTAGAGGACTTGGAATCAAAAAGGTACGCTTCAACAAAAAACATTGAAAATACACGTAACCTACTAATTATGTTATTACTCAACAGAAATACGACGGAGACAAGTAGTAGTTCTGTAGTAATTAAATCTATAATTACAAACATATCTCACGAAAAAACAAACGGAGACACCAAAATAGGAACGCCAAAAACAGCGCCCGAAGAAAGCCAATTTTAATAAATAAAATTATATGCGATTTGGATACCAACAGAAATGACAAATGATAATATTAGAAATTTATTTGTAATTTGGCTTAGGCGATAATCTTGGAGAATACTGTTCCAAACCCATATACTATATTCATGATTTTAAGTTGACCGCGACTGTTATGTAATGGTAATATATCATGTATTTTCACGCAGTGACTTTATACCCGTTACCCGTAGAGTAAAAAAGGAAAAATTATATTTATATTTAGAAAAGTGAAAAGATAACAATTTGCATTTTCGTCCGTTTGTAAAATATTAAAACGAAACATGTTTCCAAGCTGATTGATTGTCTTAGTTCTGTTCGCCCGTATGAACACTCAATTACCGAAAAAATAATCACATCCGCATTTTATAAATTGTATACTTAAATGTCCTTTATTCTGGATTAATACAAATTATATGCGTACAAATTAGTTGTAAAGGGAAAGCAATGGCGATAGTTTGCCTTTCCGTTGATCCGTATGAACGTTTAAATTGTCGTGATAACATTTTTTTAAATTAATATTTTAAATTCTTTTGTATTGGGTTAACAACTTTGTGTTGCAAAATACTTCCTTTTTAAAATTACATTTATAAGACCCAAACCATTTGCGTAATTACGATGCGCCAATTATGAGTACAAAAAAATGCCTGAAGGAAGGATACGGAAAAGAAAGACCTAAAAGTTCAAAATAATTTCTTCGATCGTATTCTTTATACGAAAATTACATAAACTGGAAATACGCATTTTCCTGCACATAAGCTTCCAAACGGATATTTGTAATTAATTTTAGGATATTTGGTACCAAGGATATATCAAAAGAATGCAAATACATATTTTTAATCACGAAACTACAATTACGTATACTCCCTATTAACTATTTATGTACACGTGAGATATATACACATTTTTTTGTGACCAGGCTTCTTACCTGTCTTTCGTAATCTACTACATTTTGTGGGTCTCATGTAATTTTTTCACGCTATACATTGAAATTAAATAATTATGCGGATTCATTTAATTTTATCTCAAATCGACATAGAAAGTTGTTTACGGATCACCGGGTATTTTTTAGGCGAAACACTCAACTATATCAACTTTTTTGTTTATTGTGAAGCCGCTTGGTCTTCAAAACAATGTTTACTTTTCTTAATAACATTACTTAAGTTGTATTAAAATGATGTACAATTTATATATTTCATTCCAATTGTCTGAGAAACCGACTTAAATCCGCAAAAGCCACAGCATTACTCTAATTATAAATTGTATTCCCTTTATATGAGCAATATTTATACCTGTTACTAGTAGATCTAAAGGGTATACTAGATTCGTTGAAAAGTATGTAACAGGCAGAAGGAAGCTTTTCCGACTATAAAAAGTATATATATTAATCAGGATCAATAGCCGAGTCGAACTGCCCAAAAATGTGATATTTTTAAATTTTTGTATCTATTTTGTAAATTTCTATGTATATGCCTAAAAACTTTTTGACACGCCCACAAACCGCCCACACTTAAAAAAAAGGGTTTCTTTTTCATTTTATAAATTTTTTTCTCCAATTTTTGCCGATATTCCAGGAAATTATAAAATTTCTCGTTTGCACTTCCGGAGTAACGGGTATCTGATAGTCGGGGAACTCGACTATATCATTCTTTTTTGTGCTTTCTGGGTATAAAGTATTCGATCGTAACGCTTATTATTTTGCAATTCTTGAAGATTTGTTGTAAATTTTATGTTCTTACGTGTTCTAATAAATTTGACAAATCTGGCCAAATTAAATCGTCGTTAAAAATTTTTTGGACTTTTACTAAAAATAATGATTTGAACATCAGTAGATTAAAACTATTTTATTTATATATAATCAATATACACTTGTTAAGGACTATTTTTACAAATTTAATAAAACATCTATGCTATTACTACTAGATATAATGTATAAAGTACTGGGATTTCATAAAGTATTAAAGATATCATGAGCACCAGTATATTAAAAGTATGTTATAATTATATTATCAATATACACATTTTTTATTACGAAATTTTTATAATATGGCTTGTTAGGGACTCCTTTTACAAATTTAATAAAACAATATGTATGCTATAACGTACTAAAGTGTACAAAAATCTTTTAATTACTACGTTGTGTAAACATAACTAAAATCCTAAGATTTCTATAAATGAGTCTAAAATATGTATTTTTGGTAGAGTCAGCTAAGGCGAAGGAACTGAACAAAAGGAAAAGATCAAACCTTGGTTTTGCCGCTACTGTCACATTTTGTTGTATCGTTGTGCAGCTGTTAGCAGAAATCAGTCTGCAAGCTTTTTAAAAGGAATTGGAATCAGCACAAAGTATGGAAAGTATTGAAAAACTGCAAAGTCATGTTCTCAGCGGTTACTCCACGTCATGCTACAACTTCGGAAAATATTGTGCGGTGGTGAAAAAGCTGTAATTTGCATGAAAACTAACGGGGAGTAGCGGTCCTTTTTTATACCCGATACTCGTAGCGTAGCGCTAACTATAGTGGTCTACTACTTGCAAATAAAATAAGACATTTGGGAAAGTTTCATGTAGATAAACTTAAAACTCAAAGACTATTTGTATACATACAATGTACATATGTATAGGTACTTATAATTATATGGCCGCAGACGGTTTCTTAATTGCATTGCAAACTTCTGAAATCAAAATACTCTGTAAGGGTGAAAAAAGTAAATATTTTAAAAACTAATAACATTAAATTTTATATTCCATATTTTAAACAAATATAAAAAAAATTAAATATTTCAAAAACGAATAACAATAAATTTCATATTCAATATATTTTTTAAAACGAATAACATTAAATTTTATATTCAATATTAAAAAAAATATATATTTATTTTAAAAACGAATAACATTAAATTTCATATTCAATATTAAAAAAAAAAATATATTTATTTTAAAAACGAATAACATTAAATTTCATATTCAATATTTTAAACAAATATTTAACCAAAATTTTTAATTGTTTCTTATACCAGTTACACGTATAGTGTAGATGGTTAGTTTTACTATCCTATAGTATAATATACTGCACGCAGTGCAAGTTTGTTTCCAAATATTGCCACGCCCCTTCCAACGCTCACAAACCGCCCAAAACTGGCACAACCACACTTTAAAAATTTTTGTATTAGGTTTCTCTGCAATCTATTTCCGTTGCACGTCTGTAAACCGTTTTCAGACAACTAAGACAAATTGTGACTTTTGTGGGAGGTGGAGAAATTTTGTATTTTGTGTTAAATCTTTGTTTTTATTTAGATTTATACGCCTGTGTATATAATTATACATCATCCACTGCGCAATAACCTACAAATTATGTCTTTTATCAGGCAGACAAATTTTTGATTTTGTGTTAATAAAAATTTGTTCAATAATCTCGGCACTGTGAGCTCTTAAAAATGTATCCTTATCGTTCGAAAAAGTCCAGGTACGAATGTGACGCAAATAATGTTTTTATCTTGTTTAGGTGTTCCTTGCTCTGTTTCTACTATTACCATATAGTGTATAAATTATTTGATTAAGTGTGTTGAAAGGTGGATTTATTTAACACTAGCTGTATGTCATTACTGACGTCTTCATGGAATATTGGGTCAAAAATCCTATTTACACAACTCTTGGCTGTATTCCTCATAATTTTCTAAAGGTGTTGGGATTGGAAATTGAGGGTTTATTCTGATGCCTGGGTATCTTGTTCCATTTAAATTTTAAAACGTTACATCTGATTTTTCTTTTAAGTACAAATATGCAATATTTAATTATAAATAATATATGTACTCAACAGATTATAAATAAGTTTTAGTATTCTGCATAAATTCGTATAGTTTATTTGTAATCGAATGATTTCGTCGCGTATACTGTTTAATGCTCTTAATAAGTACAACGTTTTGAAAAGTTTTGAATATAAATTAAAAATATATACTTATATCAATTTTATATTAATTCCTTTATAAGTCTAATCAAATTCAAAAAACCTTTATAATTCCGAAATATTTTTACGAAACCTTAGAGAGCCCACACCAAAGACTATTTATCGTACTAAATATTGAAACAACTTAATATTTAACTTTGTGCACTAAGCTTTGTGGACTAAATATTTAACTTTATGCACGAAAAATGTAGTACCAACCGATTGCGAAATAAATTATAAAAACTGAGAAAAAGGTATAAAAAGGTAAAAGGGATCTTTAGTGTTGGTTTTCAGCTACACGCAGTAATAGGTTATATGAATGTGCGGTCAACTTTACTGGCCACAATGATAGGCCGGGTTTTTCTTTTAGTACTTTCCTGATATTATACCAAAAACTCTTATTTTATTAACTAAAATTAAAACAAATTAACAAAATTTAACTTTAAGTAAAAAATTAAATTACTTTCTAAATTTATAAACAAAATTATATTAAAATATTGAAAAAGTACAAGAGAGCAATACATAGACACCACCGTTTATATTGGTGAATCACCAAACGGTGATTTTATCAGCAGTAATACATGGCCATTAATATTGAGATTCTTTCCGTCAAAATCAGATAGACAATGAGAAGCAGTTTGAGAATATTTTTAACTCTTTCGTCCGTCGCCATTTTGGGTAGACAACATTTCGAAGAGAGCAATATTAAGGCCACTCCTCCCGCATATACGTACATGTTCGGTTTTATTAATAAGGGAAAGTAAATGAGAGGTAATTTAAATCTTTCTCTCACGCTCTATTTTTCGTGTACTGTCATTATGGTTCTGTTATTATGGCATGCGGTAATATGAGATAGAGAAAGAGAGGGAGTAATTTATATTCAACCCCTTTTTTGCGGGGCCATTTGTGGTGCAACATTTAACGTTGCGCCACATTCTCTGCAGTCGCCACCGCTGCTGCATTCGACGGTGATGTTAGCCTTCAGCTTCCCAACTTAATTGCCTTGTTTTGTTGTATTTGGGGAAGGTATCATCTTTCTGATTATATAAAATAAATAATGAAGTGTTAAACATTATAGACTTGTAAATAAAATGTAAAAACTTTCCAAAAACAAGAAAAAACCATTTTCATATTTTCACATTTAAAAATTGTATTTTAATGTGTTTAAATTATTACAAAAAAACGGATGTCAAAATATTAAATATTACTATATACAAAATT